TCATAATCAAGTTTCTATAGAAAGAATCCTAGATGTATCATTAATTTTTTTCTAATGAAAACATCCTGAATCCCATGGAAATGTAAACCAAGGCTGAAGCATGTGGGAAATGCATACTTTTTTTGTGTCTAAAGCTATAGTTATCCAACATAACACATGACAGAAGCTTAGACAATACCCAATAAAAATGTTTGTCCAAATAGATAACCGTGCAGTATTACCTTAACCAACTGATGAGGAAAGAAACAGAGTTCAAATCCACTACCCACTTACTCTATGATTTTAGTTCCTCATCAACAATGACAATGAAAAGTCCTAAAAAACAGTAATTCAATTAGAAGACTCAGATATGAAAAGTGATCATGGTTGGTGCTCCAAAAATTAAATGCATATTTTAACTTAGATATTCTATAAAAGTATGGAACACTAAGACTCAAAAAAAGTTATAAAATGTCATTTAATGATCCATTACTCTTAAAGTGACTATCAAATCACCTTACGTTTTACCTTTTCTTTTGCAAAGATTCAGCAATTTCTTTAGCTACATTCGAACATTCTAGATATGACGTTTACACACAATGCATCTCTTTATTTATTTATTTGGCTGTGCCGTGTAGCATGCAGGATCTTGTTCCCCGACCAGGGATCGAACCTGTGCCCCCGACATTAGGAGCGCAGAGTCTTAACCACTGGACTGCCCGGGAAGTCCCTACACACAATGCACTTAAAGCAGAATGTATGTTCTGTCAAGTTAGCAACTTGCATACTAAGCTCTCAGCCTTTGCTGTAAGACACGTATCACATGCACATTTCCTATAACTTATGTATAATACGTGTACATCACATGCATATTTTTTTCGTACATCTCTTGGCCCACACATTCACGTGCACATGCATGCAGAGAAACAAAGGCACAAATGATCAGATTTGATGTTCCTCTCCTGCTCACTGAATTACCAAAGAGAAATTACACCTACTGTGTTCCTGGTTTAGCTAGTTGAGGTTATAAAAGGTAAGTAATGATTTATAGAATATCTTGATATGTGTGTCATGCCTTCCAACTAGACTGTGTCTTACTCCTACATTCTTCTCAGTTCCTGAGATTGTGAGGTGTTAGGCACATGCTGGTGGAATATAAAGTGTCCAAATTCATGGGCTCTGCCACATCGCATCTGGGTTTCCATCCTAACCCTAAGAGTTATCAACTGGGAGAACAAGGACTTATGCCTTGAGCTTCAGCTTCTTCATTAGCAAAATGTGTTGAGATACCAACCGTACTTAGTGGCTGCAAGGCACCTCAGCTGGAGAGATGTCCCCCTAGATTGTTAATGGATACTTGCTCATTAATTGATAAACTCATCTCAGAAAAGGTCTGGACTTACTGCCAACCATTACTTTTACAGACTTGCCTGTTTTACAGTTATATAGACAGGTGTTTGAGACTATAAGAAATTTAACTAGAAATAGGAAAGCTTTTTAGTCCATTTTGCTAATTAATATGTCAGAGCTCATAAAGAAGGACTCATCATCGGCTTTCTTCAGTACTGCATCATCTTAAAGAGCTGGGTCAGCAAAGATCTCTGTAGACAGTCAATACATATTAAAACCATTCTAAGCAATAAATCAAAACAAAAAAATATGACGGCATGTTTTAGAAAAGTCAAATTTATAAGTCCTTTCTGTCTGAATGCTGAGGGGCATTAAACTATTGGCTTAAGTGTCAGTTCAGTACATAGGGAAAAAAAGGACTCCTTCTTGGACATACTTTATGAGTCTGTGTATAGCTAAAATTAAAGCATAATGTAAAAAAAAAGGCTATGACAAATCTGATGTCATTTTTCTCTGGATTCTAATGTTTCCTCAGAATATCTGTCATTTTAAAAAATGGTTTTATTGTTTAAAATATACATTTTGCTGAAGTTATTTCCCCTGTGCATTGCTAGGATTTGAGTTTTGTCAGAATTCAATTAGTGAGATGGTTAGGGGAAAAGGTGAAAGACAGTTTTTTGGTTTTTCAAGGCTCTCTGAAACTTATGATTTTTTTTTTTTTAAAGGAGCCAAACAAAAAGCATTTTGCTCCTAACTTCTCTATGATCGGTCTCACCATCCCATAAACATTAATACCTCTTATATGTGGAAGAGGACCCCATAAGATTATAAACAGGAGTACCAGCCTGCCATTTTCCTTGCCAAGGTATGAGATGCAATGTACTGCCAGGCGTAGCCCGTGAGATAGATTATCAGAGAAATCTCAAGAATACTGGATTGATTCCAGCAGAGGTGAGGGAATACTACATTTTGGGCCAAAAATGTTAGAAAGATTTATCTTACCTAAGACTTTGATTTGATCTGAGCTCTGAGGAATCAACCATTTAAAGAATAAGCCAAGGAAATGGTGCCAAAAATATTGTCACAAATTTGGGAAGTACCCAAGCCAGACCAACAGATGGAACTTGGCATGAAATGGCTCTCTACATACTAAGTAGCTGACTCAGAAGAAATTTTAACTCAGATGAATTTATTAAAATGTTGAATATCATCCTAAATAAGAGGAGGGATGATAGATTTAGGTCAGCACATAAAATTTAATTTAACTTCCTGATGGTCTTGGATAGTGGGAAAGGGGCCCACATTTCTATGATTAAAAAGAGACAGAGGGAGATACTCTTTCTTCTTAGCAAAAGAGATACCACTTTTTCACCTGAAAATTCTGGAGAAAGGATTTGGGGAAGAGAAAGGTGAAACAAAAAAGAAGCTGACATTGGCGAGATAAGTATGAATGATCAGGGCACGTTGCACATTACAATCCAAACTGGCACTTGCTTAGTGGTCTAGACTGTAGCAGATGGAGACTATAGTTCTATATTAGGTGAATGTTAAAAATGACTGAACAGGTTGCCAGAATCAAAAGGACCCTTAATTCTCTTTCACTGTCGTCACTACCAAAGCCTAATGGGAAAATGCTCTACCCAGTGTAGCCCACACAAGGAGCTGCACTTCATGGGAGGGATGGGTTCTTGAGGAGCATTATAATTCAAGACCTTAATAGCATCTTTTTCTTTCATGCTGCTTTTTATTTTCTCAGTACTGTCTCTAACGTTTCATAGAGTGCTCTCATTTAAGTCTAGAGCTCACAATTTGAGGTGACTGGTTAGCCCTCTTCACTGTGTTTTATCGTATGCCACTTTGGCTCCAAAGTTATCAACTTTCTGGCTGTTTTCAGCGTTTGCCCCGGTTCCACAAAAAGCCAATGAAAAATTTGATGATGTTGTGATAGAATATAAAAGTACTTAAAATATAAGAATAGTGAATAGTGTAATAATAGTTCATTAGTAACAAAAATCTTATTTAAAACATCTGATGTATTTCAACAGTTTGATTCATGGGATATGAAGACCATTAGTATTATTTCTATTACCAGCTAAAATAACTCTGCCATGTGAACCTTACAGTTAACCTGACTGACAGCTTTAAAATTATGCCATTTTTAACATTTTTCTTTTAATTTGGAAGATTATTTCAATTTTTATGTTTAGAGTACTTCTTTCCTAATATCTTTATTTCATACTACATAAAAACATATCATTAAAATTTACCTAAAATACTATACCAATATACCAAGATAATGTTTGCCTTTAAAAAGAGTGACAATAATTTTTGCTTACTGGCTAACAGTAATTTGTTTGGAAATGAAGTAAGATTAGAGTAAGATTCGATTTCCCAGAAAAAGCCAGAAAGTTTATTATTTGTTTTCAAAAACCAAATTGATACACATTCTAAAAAAAATGCTTCTACTTCTTACCTTGAAGCCCATCCCAGTATGTAAATAGGTTTTTATCTTCAAGTATTCATATGTGTAAGAGAGCTAAGGACAAGAAGTACCAGGCATGGGAACAAGCAGCGTGTGGCAATTTATCACTCCCTCAGAAATCTTTTCTTTCACAGTGATCTAACCTCTTAGGCTCTTTATTAGGAGGGGCAGAAAAGAAAACATCTAAGAGTTGTGAACTAGACCTTCCCTGCTGTTATCACTAGCGAATCTGGAGAAAGAAGAAAAGGAAAAACAATCATAATCTTGTCCTGGAACATGATGGAAGTAATGAGGCATCAAGGCCACTTACTGCTGAGAACATAATTGGCCCATAAACACAGGAGATGCTTGGTGATGGGAACGACTTCTTTGTTTCAGAAACGAAGGGATGCCAACAAATCATAACCCTCCTGTTGTTTGGAGTGGCATTTCTAAGAGTAAAATGGATAGTTTCCCCCCAAATAATGCACCCTTACGAGAAAAGGATTACTGCTGTATTTACTAGCTTAGTAGCTTTAAGTGTTTTCAACTAATGTGAATAAATGATGCTGAAGAAAGGACAAAGGAACGGAAGGTAGGTCATTTGGCAATGAAGGAAAAGCTTGGATTTTAGACCTGAAGGTATATCACACAAAACAGAGGAAGAGCCTAGAGACCCTCAGACTCCTGGTGGACTTCCTAGGGCACCTCCAGGGAGCTCATTCATGAGTCTAAAGAAAGAGAATACAGTCATCTCAGGCCCAATCCCCTGTGATGACAGGCAAAAAAATGATTCTGTTTTGAGAAGGAAGAAATGGCCACGTTTTTCTTTTTCTGGAATTCTTTGTCCTGTCACTTTAATGTGAGAGTCATCATGGAAAATAATTTCAAACTTTCTTGGGTTTTCTTTGTAATTTTTTGTTATTCTAAGTGTTCAGCTGGCATACAGGTTAAAGATTTGGGGTTTTATAATTATTTTTTTGGAAACCTTTCTTCCTCCTTCTCAAACATTTCAGTCAGCATACATTATGCCACTATACAACACATGGCCAAGCAATAATTCACCTTTGTGGAAGTCAGAGACATCTCGTGTATTAATTAGCAAGTCTTTAAGTGATGAGAGGATGGAAACAGGTTCCATCTGCTACTCAAACCCAGCCAGAGATTTCCAGGAAGGAGAATATAAAGTCAGTTACAAGGAATTTCTTACCCGATTTGTGTCCAGCCAATGAATGGACTTTGCTTTCATCTGGCACTGCAAAGAAATTAAAGAGACAAGGATCAGACCTGCTTGTAAATCAGTCATTTTTTGAACAATAAATTAATATAGATTTGTAATAAGTGAAATCTTTTACTGGCAAAGATTTGAGAAAACATCTTCCCCAGCCTGCCTGGGGCACCTCAATTCTATTAATTTAAAGACAGTTATGAAGAAATATATGTACATTAAACCTTCTGTGAATAGAATTTCATTCTTTTAAAAATTTCTAGGGCTTCCCTGGTGGCGCAGTGGTTGGGAGTCCGCCTGCTGATGCAGGGGACATGGGTTCATGCCCCGGTCCGGGAGGATCCCACATGCCGTGGAACAGCTGGGCCTGTGAGCCATGGCCGCTGAGCCTGTGCATCCAGAGCCTGTGCTCCGTAACGGGAGAGACCCGCGTACCGCAAAAAAAAAAAAATTCTAATACTTTCAGTTCTTTTAACTGGGCTGTTGTTTCTGTATCCACAAAAACAGAAAAACTCAAGAATCTAGAGCTGTATAATATATAATAAAACTCTTTGAGCATGACAGCAATATATCTAATCCCCAAGGATCAGACTTCTATATCTGGACAAAATGGAGCAAAAGGGAACAAACTTACAATTCCTCCTGAAAAAAAATTTCTAAAATAGACAAAACACGAAACAATGGCATTCAAGAGATTAGACATCAGGCAACAGAGGACAGTGACCCTTGAGAGGTGGAAAACAGGTGGGGTGACTCCTGCCATTGCTCCAGCTTACCGTCTAGAGAAAGTTTCCAGGTTGTGGTGCAGGAAGGGGAACACGGGCAGAGCCCAGGGATATTCCAGCCTGAGGACATGAAGCTGGAGGCCCAGGGAAACCAAGGCAGACAGAGTTTAGGTCAGAGAATTGGCGAGAAGAGAGGTATACAGAAATCTTTCTGAGAACTGCAAAGGATCCCCTCAGGTATTTAATTAATTGCTGATGATCACATGCATGTGAGGAAACTACCCAAGACCTGGGACAGAACTGCCCCAAAGGGGAAAGAGCACAGTGTCCAAAGTTTACACAAGGTTGGGAATAAAGTTCCTATTCCCAATACCCAGAGTGAAAAACTTCAAAATTCAGGGGCATCCATTAGAATAGGAAGAAGAATCTTGCTTCAGCAGTGGATAAAATTTTAGATGAACACAGCTCTGATGAAATGGATATGATTTTGAAAGCCACAAATTACCAAGGCTTATATAGGAAGAAAGAGATAATCTAACAGCCCTATAGTTTGTTTTTTAATCGATTTGTATTGAAAGTTAAAAACTTTCCCAGAAAGAAAACTCTAAACCCAGCTGATTTCCTGATGAATTCTACCAAACATTTAAGGAAGAAATAATACCAGTTCTACAGAAATTCTTTCAGAAAATTTAGAGGAGGGAATATTTCCCAACTCATTCTATGAGGCTACCATTACCTTGATGTTAATATCAAGCAAAGACGTTATATGAAAGCTACTAACCAATATCTCTCATGAACAAAGAGGCCAAGTTCTAAATCCTTAAGCAACTCTGCATGGATTATCACTTCAATATTCAACAACAGCTGTGCAATATTCACCATATACATATAACTGATTCATTTTGTTGTCAAGCTGAAACTAACATACCATTGTAAAGCAATTATACTCCAATAAAGATGTTAAAATAAAAAAAATATTCACCATATGTCATTGTCTACATTAGTCTCTAAAACTCTGGTGGCTCAAGGGTAGAAGCAAGGTGAGTGGAACTCTGCCAACAAGGAGGACCTCTTCCATTTTCCCAAATATGAGATTGGTCTCAGAGTAATAAGCTCCTCCTTCCTTTACCTACAACATTCAGTCATATTTCACTGACCCAGTTATTATACAAAAATCTTCCTAAGTCTTCCCACACCCACCTAGCACTCCTTTCCTAAGCTATTTCTTTATTTTCTAGACAAGAGCACTACATGTTTGTAATTTTCCTGGTATTAACTGCTTAAAAATCTTGTTGGACTTTTCTTTGTGTTTCCAGTTGGAGATGTCAATCCATACGTATCAGCCTCCAATTGTGGGCCAAATTCTGTCTTTCCCAGGTCTGAAAAAATATACAGTGGAATCTATAGTACAAATTAAAAAATACTGGAAAACAATGATGGTGACTAAAAAAATAATACTAGAAGCTAATACTGAGCACTTGTAATATACAAGTTCTACCCTATACTCTTTACAGCTATTAATTCATTTAATGCTCACAGTAACCTGTAAAGATAGCTATTATTATCTTTACAGATAAAGAAACTGCAGCATATCTTGTAAGCGGAGGAGCCAGAGCTTAAACATGGCACTTTTAATCACTCTACTATACTTGTGATGAATCATAGAAGAGTTGTTATATTTTTCAGATTATTGATAACATGAATTAAATGTAAGAAAACACTTGACAAACACCCGTATGTTAGAACACTATTACCCTTTTAATTTGAATATGTTATTAATAGAAATCTTTCTATGTTGACCAATATGAACAAGTGTTAGCTATAAATTTGTTTAACATGTTCAGAAATCTACAGTTCTAATAGGTTCAAGCTGAAATAATTCATCCCCATTACACAGATAAGAAATCATCTGTCTGAGTTAAAATCTTGACTTAGATACTTACTGGTTACCTGCAATTTACTTTAACTTTCTGTGCCTCAATCTCATCATATATAAAATGAGGTTGATATTGCTTTCCCCGTAGGTTTAGAGTGAAGATTATTTGTGTAAGTTTATGCAAAATACTTAGAAGATCACATAGTAAGTGCTTAATAAATATTAGTTATTAGATCATTAATGATAAACTAAATAGAGTTAATTTACATTAGATGTTACAGAATAACATGATAGCTAATAATGGGACATATGTGGATTGAATTCAAGATTTATCAGGCAAGTTACTAAGCTCCTTTCAACCTTAGTTTCCCCATGTGAAAAATGAGATACAAACACTGTACAAGGAGTTGTGAGAACTGAATGAAATAAATTTTAAAAAGCACTTAGCACAGTTCCAGGTACACGTTTCTCAATAAATGAAAACTTTTGATAAATGGAAACTGAGAGCGGTAAAGGTTGTGAATTTAATGATGGCGGTGGTGCTTATGATTTCACTTGCCTAGGATTATAAAGGAATAGGCAGGGCACAAGGTACTTTCAATTGCTATCTCATGGATAATCCAATACCCACAGCAGGTTTTACCTCCCGGTTTACATGGCTCCCAGTTCATCTTGTAGTGGAAGAAAGGCAAAGGAAATATGGTATTCAGACTACATACATGATTTTATTTTGTGCAGTTATTCTGAAAAAGGAATTCACACAAGGGTAGGATCTTATTTTTTGTTTTTGTCTTTTTTTTTTTTTTTTAACAGACATAAGTTATCCCATTAAATCTAAGTCAATTTAAGTACTACAAATTCCCTTGCCATGTTAGGTTGAACACGGTAACTTAACTTTTTGGCTGAATATTATCTACTATTTTTAGTAGGAATACTAATTATTTTAATTGACAATTTGAAATTCTTTAGAACACTACCAAACTATTACAATAAATAGTGTAGAACATCCAAATGGGTGATGGGCATAAAAATTAGGGGTCTTTCTCCAAAATATTCACTGACACAGATGTCTATCTTGAGGACAGAAGATAAATGAATAAACATCATAGAAAATAGAGGGAACTGTAATGACTTAATTAATAGAATACATTTTACTTAAAAGGTTAAATTGGGAACAATCATCTTTTATGCACATGCTTAGTGCTGGGAAGTGATTTAAATAACAGTAGCAAGTGAGAAAATGAGGTAAAATTATACACACCACCAAGCTTTTTAAAAATATGACAAGTGTTATAATTAATACTCAACTTCTTTTATAACTCACATTACCTTAAAGCTACTATAAAGTTTCCTCTCAGGGCTGGAGCTTAAGTCTAGTCATTTCCTGCATATTATTTAGACAGCACAGCAGTTGCAACAGTAGCAATGTTAATACGATAGCTATGTCATTTTAAACAAAGAGCTTATTTACAAGAGGTTGAAAATGAGTGAGCCCGGTGTGAGAAAGGTCTATCATTCCAAAATGGTAAGTAAGGTACCAAAAGTGTCAAGTAAGAGAGGGTTGATGGAGCAGGAACCAAAATTTCTTGTTCTGGTTCTAATGACAGGTTGTTTTCTCTTCCTTTCTTTCTTCTCCCCACCTCTCCCTCCCTCTCCCCTTTCCTCCTCCCTCCCTCCCTCCCCCCTCCCTTCCTTCCCTCTTCCCTTCCCTCCCTACCTACCTACCTACCTTCTTTCCTTCCTTCCTCCCTCCCTCCCCCCTCCCTTCCTTCCCTCTTCCCTTCACTACCTACCTACCTACCTACCTTCTTTCCTTCCTTCCTTCCTTCCTTCCAGTTTCTAGAGCATATTATATTCCCTTTCTTATCCTTCAGTTTCCAAAGATTGGTACTATTTGCTCTTGATTACTTTAAAGAGTTATTATAGTAATTGAAGAGGTATTAGGGAAATGTTGAGTCCTTCTGAAGATGAAATTCACAGACATTTTTTATTACATTCTTAGAGGGCACTGTGGACTTGTCCCTCCTGAGATTTCTCTAGATTTATTTAGATAATGGGATTTCTATTAAGCTCCTGCTTCCTGGCATTCAACTCAAGATCAATGGACACTATTTGATTTAATTACTATAAGGTTTTTCGTAAGGAGGACACTCTTTGGTTTGGATGTTTGTTAATATCCTGCTTCGTCCTCTGGTTCAGGAAAACTTGCTCAGGAAACACAGCACCCTGCGGGCCTATGTTTCCAGTTATTTTGGTTGTAGACCTTTGAAGTTAATCAAAGGTCTACGAACTACCCAACACTAGTGGAAACTTTTTAAAAGGTGTGGATAAACACACAGTGTCTTTTGGCTTAATTTCAACGAGGTTCATTGTTAGAGTTGAGAGAAACCATAAAGAAAGAAAATACGGGAAGAAAATCTGTGAAA